AATTTTTAGGATTTTTATATTTTCATTATGTATATTTGGGGGTTTAATTTTAAAATATTGGATTTTTTTAATAAAAGTCGGGTGAGATATTTGCCAATTTGTAATTGTCATTTTTTTCTGCCAGAAATGTAGATATGGCAAATGAATGTATTCATATTATTTTCTTAATTTAAGTTTCTATAATTGATGTTGATATTTATAAACAAACTCATTATTTAATATAATAAAAATAATTGTTTCTGCTTACAGATTTTTCTATAGAATTCATTAACTTTGACAGTTTATAAAACCCAAGGGTTAACCCTATCAAGGATCTCTTACATTGAATTAAGACATCTTTATTCCTATTCAGGTTTATATTACATTCAGCAAATACTTTACTTAAAACGATGTTGAGATATCTCATCTTGACAAATCAGCTTTCATGACCGATCCTGAAGTTATTCTGAAGTACCAAAGATTGGTTGCCATTTCAGAGATAGACCTTCATACATTTTCTCAACTTCTTACATTAATTAGATGAAAATAACAAAAGAAGGATAGTATTTATTTGAATTAAGATATGCATGATTTACATTGTAACTGAATGATCAAGTATAAAATAAATAAAACAATAAAATATCAGAAAAAAAATAAAACAATTTGCAAAAATCAAGTAAATTCATTAAATAAATAACCTTTATTTAAATTACAAAAAATTTAATAACTCGTATGTGACACAATGAATCTTGAAAAAATGTACTTGCTAATTATGATCAATTTCGGAAACCGGAGCACATATCGACTCAATTTTGAGTGGGACATTTTCGTCATAGAGTCTAGACCAAGAAGAATAAAAAAAATAAAAAATGGAAATTTCATTTCATGAATTTTTTTTAACTTTCTGAACAAACGTAACTTCGACAGATATAGCAGAAAAGAAGGAACTGTGCAACAATGGAAAAATTTGAATACGAAATTTGTGTTCAGGACTTTAGAACCTCTCAAAAAATTTACCGCCATAGCCGGTTGATCTTAAAAACGAAACATCAATAATATTTGTACCAAAAACATTTTTTAACCTTCCATCATTCTATGTAGAATAAAGAAGGTCACAGTATGTATAAGATAACGAATGAGGCTTACAAACCGGAATTACGGATCTGCAATTTGTTATCTTTAAAAAAAAAAATTGGTTTAAAACAATATAAACAAATACCTTGAACACCTAACACATCTTTGATTAGATTTTGAAGTGTTACGTTTAAATTTTACTTTACCTTCACCATCAAACAGATTTAAATTATCATTTAAACGATTTAAATGAGTTAACATTTCACTCATATATTATTTTACAGTTGCAAATGTTTATACTCTAATTATCATATTACAAAAGATCTGGACAAAATCATAATTGAATAATTAACGATTAATAAATTAAAAATATTTCTTGCTGTATATTTAACTATTTTATTTCTTTTTTTACAAAAAGCGATATTCTAAAATTACTGACAAAATTTTGGAAATGATTTGTAGCACAGCAAGGGTAAAAACTCGTACGACCATTGATCTAGCAATGAAAAAAGTTTTAAAAGTATTATTAATAAATTCTATTTAATGGTCGATAAAAAAAAAAAAAACTATCAAAAAAAAAAAATGAATAAATAAATTTCGTCCAAAGTTTCTATAAAATAACGAGTTAATAGACCCCTTAGATAAATGATTCAGATAAGATTACTTTAAAAGTTTTAATCTATGGTTATCAAGGAATTAATAATGATTCTCTTGTAAGAAAAAAATAAAATAAAATAATAAAAATTTTTTTAGGGGATGCTATGGGGAAAAGGACCATTTTACAATAATTACATAAATGATATACAAATAATCTTTGTGGTATAATAAACAAATTAAATCGGAACGTTTCAGATGACCTTTGTTTTTTAAAAACAATTCACAATTCACAAAATTATTAGTTATTATAAAATATAAATAATTTTTTTTTATTGTATATAGTGTAAAATATAATACAAAAATCTTTACCAATCCGTTATATTTATAGTGACACTTTTCACTTCATCTTTTCCTCCTTCACTTCATTTATTTTTCTTAAATACATTATATCTATTTGTCAATTACTAAACATATATATATATATATTAAAAAATGTCTTTATCTGCCGCTCGACAAATTGCCAACCGTCATCCTCTTGCTATTCAACCTTTAATCAAAAATTCAAATACGAAAAATATTCCCAACTTTCCTCCTGAAATCATTCGTATAATTCTTGGTTTAATAAAAGATGACAAGAAAACTATTAACGCTTGCGCTACTGTAAATCATACGTTTAATCTTCACGCCACACCAATCTTATATCATACCGTTTCTTTCTCATTTCCTTACACATTTACTTTATTCGCCAAAGCTATTCTCGGCGAATCTCAACGTCCCCGAATGATTCGTCATTTGGATCTTTCTGGTTTCTCTACCATGGGCTTACAAAAGAGCGACGCTACAATTCAGACGGTCATTACCCCTGAAATTCTTATAAGCATTCTACGATCTTGCACCATGTTGGAGACTTTCTCCGTTTCGGAAACGTTGACATCAACTATCAATCTTGAAGTTTTACGGGTTCTCGTTTTCGAGTGTAAGAACATTAAAACTTTGGATTTTTGTGGACTTTCGAGCAAACATTTCGGTTCGGCTCTTACCTCCTTAGCAGAATATATGGGTCGTTTAAGATTGGTTCAAGATTATGAGGATGATGATGAAAAGGAGCCGACTTACTCATTCCAAAGTGTAAAGAATGTAGCATTACCAGACCTTCAACGTCTTTCTTTACACAATTGTTCAATCATCTCGGAATATTCCACCATACTTACTCTACTTGCACACGCACCAAATATCACTCACCTTGATTTGGGTGGTTGTTCCGTTAGTGAGATGACACTTAATGTCCTTGCAACTCAA